TAAAAAAAAAATTCTCAAAAATTTGCACGGTAAGGTATAGTTAAAAGTTCACTATTAGATAAATAAGGACTTCTACTATTAGAAAAAAATTAATTTTAGTCATAATCTAATATTTTTTATTTAACATTGGTGGCGAAAGTACCTCCTTAAATTTGAGTAGGTATTATATTAGTTATCTGTCAAATTCAGTATTTTTTTAAAAAATCGTTCAATTTTTTTTTTTTTTAATACGAATTAGACAAAAAACTAGAGCCAACTATATGGGCTATTTTAAGCTTTTAAATAAGCAGAGGTAATTGCTCTACGATATTTTTTCCAATCGTAATATAAAAAAAAAATCCCATATGGATCCAACTTTATAGCACACACTGTATGTATAACAAATGCTACTTTTAATTTTTTTGTAGGAAAATAGCAAGGAGTTGTCCACAAATAATGTTTCTTTAATTCACGTATGTCGAGCATACAATTCTTCTTTTTAAGTGTCAGTTTAGATTTAATTTAGAGCCGCGCGCAATTATTACGTATATAACTCGTATTGCTGTCTTTGACAGTTATGGCCTACTATAGGAACATTTTTTTTTTTGATCACGTGAAAGTTACTTTCATACATTTATTTGGCCATCTTCTATTAGGTTATTTAGCCACAATTTTTAAATGTCATTAGGCTATTTTGGGCTATTTTAGTTGATATTGTCGGCGACATTGGACAAATTTTATTTGGCAACCCTGATTCTTAGTTGATAAACTGTGAACGTGAAAAATTGTTGTAAATCTCTTCGGCTTGGATGAGAGAATTGAGAGTTCTGTTGATCGCGCACATCAAGATGCCAACAGTTGTCGGCGTTGCCAGATCTGGTCAAAATATGTGAAGATATGTATTTGTGATTAAACACTACTTATCCAACCCACATTCCAATTTCAAATATAATGAAATCGGCAAAAATGATCCAAACCTCAAAAACCTTAACTATCTTTAAATCACAATACTTTTATAAATTTTATGTAAATAAAAAGTTCCTTGGTTTTCTCGGTCAAATACTTTTAATTTTTTTTTATAATTTAAGCACTTAAGCAGAAATGGTTTATTAGAAGATTAGGTGGCACCAAACTTTTACATTTAAAAGTAATCTAAATTTCGATGGCAATTATCTTTGAAATTCCACAGATAGCCTGCCTTTTTTGCTATTTATATTATTTAAATCTTCAAAAAGCTGCTTTTTGTCTAGTAAAATAATTGTTTAGCCAATTTTGACCATTTAGTATTAGTATTGTTAATCCAGTTTTACTTGTTGGGCTGTTCAGAGATACTATTAATTAAGTGAATAAACTGCAAACATGGTTTACTTTCTACAGGAAAGAATCGAAATGATTTTCGTTTATGGAGAGGTTGGATGAAGGACAGCATTTCTTTTTAATGAAAGAAATCCTAATCGTAATGTAAGTCACAGGTATATTCTCGATTTGGTAGCACAGTTTTTGGAAACTGGTTCGGTGAAAATAGGAAAAGAACCAACGAGTACTAAATGAAGAAGATCAAATTGAGGTTTTGGGAACATTTGTTGCAGAGCCAACTAGTTCCATACGAACAGTATCAGAACAGACGGGAATATCACGCGAGACTAAGAAGAGCACTGAAAATGCATAAATTTCAACCCTATAAAATGCAGATACTTAAAGAGCTCCACGAAGATGATTTTGATAGAAGAATAGTTTTGTGAAACCATGTTTGATCAAGTCAACGCCAACCCTAATATTCTGCTGAATATCTGTTGTAGCAATGAATCTTCATTTTATCTTAATGGCAATGTTAATAAACACAATTGTCAGTACTAGAGTGACGAACACCTGAATAATATTCGAGAAGGACATACACAACATCAGCAAAAAGTTAATGTTTGGTGTGTTATTCTTGGAAATGCAATTGAAGGGCTTATTGGAACAACATGATAAGCCACTTCAATTTATTGAGTAAACACATCTTCAAAGGTTAAAATAAACTTCTAAAACTTTGTTGATTTATCTGCTAAATATGGTATTTTTCGAGAATTTATTTGGTTTGTATCTTTTCTAACCCTATTTTTTATTACCGTAAAGTAAAAAATGCCTTTATTTTAAAAGGTGTGGCTTATATCATGTTTTTACAATAAGCCCTTCAATTATTGGTCCTTTATTTATTGAAGGAAACTTGACAGGCGATCTGTACCTTAATATTTCGTAGTTGGATTGGCAGAAGGGGAACAATTGAATGGCCTCCAAGATCACTTATATTAACTCCCTTAGACTTTTTTCTTTGGGGACACCTTCAATCCGTTGTTTATGAAACACAACCTGCTGATATTGATGATCTTAAAAGGCGAATTACAGCAGCATGCCAGTTAGTTCTCAGTGAAGTTTTAGAGAGGAGTTCAGAAATAGACTTTATTACTGTTTACAGTACAATGGACAACATTTTGAACAGTTTTTAAAATAGAGTACAAGTAGATCCTATATTTTATTTTTAACATTTCTTGTGCAAATTAGTTATTTTTGTAAGTGACGTAACCAAACAAATAAAAAAATCAAACATGTAGACTTACTTGATGTTCCTCCTGTTATTCAACTCGATAGAATAAATATTGTTTAAATACTAACATGAAAACCGAGAATCTTAGAGTAGGCATGTTTCAACTTCTGTAACATTGAAATGCAATTTTTTCAGAATCTGCTGGTAATATAAATCAAAGTAACATTGGAAAGAGAATTAAACGCCCTTTAAAATGATGTGTCACTGGACTCCCTTTCCCATTTAAGATTTTAAGGGTAACCTTTACCACTCCTGGAAGATTGTGGCACAAGTGTTAAAAGTATTCATTTTAGGTGTCCCCCTCGAAAATAAAATTGACGGGTTTTGGCGATATTTTTATATTATTTACTGGAAGGAAGATATTCATTCAGGTGGGAAGTTTTCGGTGTCCCCCATATATTATAAATTAATTTTTTTAGAACATCTCATCCGATTTTTGGGCAAATAATACCATTCAAAGCTAAAATTTCCCTACTCAAAATTTTTTTTTATAAAATGCTAACAGAATGATAGAAACGGGTCCAAAAAACTACTATAATTGAATACCAAAATAATAGACAGTAATTTAATATGTGAAAAGTGCTGTCATATGTCATTGCGCCAAATTTTGAAGACATTTTTGAAGGTTACTGGACACGGGTTTTTTATCAGTGGTGGGAATATATTGCAATTGCATATATGGCACTTTTGTCAGGATTCTTCAAACTTACTTGGCATTAAATTACTGTCTATTATTTTGATACACAACTATATTTTGTAAAAATCCATAGTTTTTAACTATTAAAAGTAAAAAATAATTATTTAAAAGTTTTTTTGCGTTTTTCTCAAAGCTTACAGGACAGATTAATATTCCAACCTTTATTTAGAAAACTAATAAATATTTGAAATAAAATAGAAAAATAAATTCTGGAAGCCATATATGTCCCAACTTATTAATGAATCATTATTTTGTGTATTGTAGCTTCGAGAATTTATTTTTCTATTTTATTTTACATCTTGGTCACAATTCATTAATTAATATAGAATTTAACTTAAATCTTTTATAACTCCAAATTAATTGAAATCCCCAATTTCAAATTATTTATACATACAACAAATGTATTATACAAATTTTAACCTAAATCTTTCGTTATTTCAAATTATTTATACATACAACAAATGTATTATATAAATTTTAACCTAAATCTTTCGTTATTACAAATTAGTTGAAATCCCCAATCTCAAATAATTTATAACAAATGTATAGAAAATCATATCAGTAATTTTTAATACATGGCAAATGGTGCAGGTACAAAAATTTTTTCTTCTAATAAATAAAATTCATCGGCCGACCATGTAAATTTCGACAATTGTTTATGCCTTCGGTACCTGAGCGGCTATACCCACTATATCTTATGCCTCAATTACCTCCCTCCCCCTTTCCCTAATCACACGTGAGATTTTTAAAATTTTGTGTCTTGGGTGTAAATGCGTTGAATTATTAGAAAAAACAAAAAAATATGTTCTATTACTTTTATTTAAGACTAGCAAAGACTAGTATTTGAGAATATTGTAATATAAAATTTCTAGAAACATTATTTGCTTTAACCTAACTTTCACGCAATTTTACACCGTTTTCTACGAGAATAAAATTACCTCAGATTTACAAAGACCCCCCTCTCCCCCAAGTGAGATTTGGTAAGATTTAGCTTGATCCCCTCCCCCCTAAACTCCTCACGTAATTAATGGACGCCCCCTTATGCCGACGTAAAGTATAAATTATTTCATTAAAAATCCTGTTTATCTTTCTCTAAACTTTGCGGGTCTTTTACGGCCGGCTAAATGTTGGTTTAAAAGATTATACACTTCAACTTCAATATGGTCAGTACACTCATAATATAAATACAATATAAAATCAACTGTGGTGTACCCATTTCACTATTTTATCTGTTGAGAAAAATACTATCCTAAGTCATTTTCTATTAGTTTTGAGTATTACGCGTTTGAAAGTTTTATGGCCCTAAAACGAAGACAATTCTAGGCAATTTTTGTTCCAATACGGCTTCTTATGACACTTGATAGTACTGTACAAGCTAGAATTAAATAGGACTTTCGATATTATGTCAATAACTTAATTTTCAAGAAAATGAACATAGGATAGTTTAAGTGGACATAGAATAGTTTTCTTTTCAAGCGAAAATTTTATGATTACATAATACTACTTTCTTTAATATTTTAATTTTATGGCAATCTTTGTTTCAACATTTCTCTAAGTGTAGGTTAGGTTTTAAATTTTACCTTTTATTAAACTTGTAGTTTGTATTTTAATTGGGCAGTTGCCCGTTGATAAATAAATAACGCAGCAGGAATCGTTCTTTTCATCGTCTCAAGCTGTCGCATGTCCCAGCCTGCTATTACTGTCACTCTGTACTTTACACATAAAAAATTTACATACCTGTGGCCATGTTCGGTAAATTCGTTCAGCGGAATCTCGTAATCGACTTTTCTTGGCACACAATTTTCACAATGATAGCTGGCAGCAGATACATCAGCTTTGACACATTCGCAATGCTGCCAAACCATACACCTTTCACATTGTATCATGAGACCCTCATCTCTCGGAATACCGCATATGCATCGAATTATATCTTCCTCTTCACCTACAATTATAAAAATAAAATAAAATTAATCTACTCATTAATGAAGTTGTAAACGAATACAGGGTGAACCATAAATAATTTGAGACATAAAGTAATCAGATTATTTGCAACAACATATGATGGTTCACAAATGCTTTAGTAAATTGTTATTGTGTTATTTTTAAACATGAAAACCGGTTTTTATAGACTTTGGTTTGAATATAAGTGAGCATGCTTACTCTTTTTCCTGTTGGATACAAATTTATGGGGCGGCTTCTCCCCTAACGTATCCTCAAATTTCGTAAGACATCCCCTTTTAGAATCGCTGTAGACTTTCTTCAATTTTGTCGCAGTTATTCCCATTTCATTGGTGCGACCATAGAATCTGATGTAATTCCGGAACAAGAGATTGAAATCGTCATCAAATGCTTCCGGAGTTTTGTAAACTCCAGTGGCTATGTTCTGTTCAATTGTCGAAAGGTCTATGGGGTTAGAGATACGGGCATACAATTCGGGAACTTTTCTTTTTGATGGCATTGTCATGAACGGTGTGCTCATAAGTTCGCCTTTAGCATCTACAAATAAAAAAAAAACTTCATTTCAGGCAATTTTACAGGAGGGCAAAAAACTTATTGACAAATTTTCAATTTTTTTGTACACTACTTATGCTTTTGGAAATGTTTACAACATGCAGTAACGCAGTTATTCGTTTTCCGCAAAAATCAAAACCGAGCGGAGTTAGACGGATTTATTGACGTCATGTTTAACAGAAATGTACATTTAGACATATTTAGAAGGTTTTTTGACAGGATGAGATTTTCTTTCTTTTTCTGTTGATACCAAAACCGTTATTTCGATCAAATTTGGAGTTGGAACACTTTTCACAGATGATATAAAGAATAAGTTTTATTAAAGAAAACAAACTAACCTTTGGCAGATGTCACCTTAGTCCAAATTTCTTTCAACAAAGACGCCAACTTAATTGTCTTATTAAGTTCTGGATCATCTTCAGCTTGTGCCAACCGCCTCGTCTTCATGTTTCTCGGTTTCTGAAGGGCGTTTAATTGATTTAAGAAAGCACTCGTATCTGTTGGTGTAGCAGTTTGTAACCTTGAAATTGCAGAAGCTGTGCTTAGAGACCTATCTCGAACCTTTCTGACCTGTGACAATAGAAATAACAATATTATTTAAGATTTATGGTCCAGTGCAAAATGCTTATTTAATGGGTAGATCAACCATAGCAGGGGCAGAAGTTGGAAAGGTTTTTGGTAGGTAGAGTAAACGTCAAACCACGTCGGACGACTTCATGAATTTCGCGGTTATGTTAATCTGCCAGTGTCGTTTCATAGAATATGTACTTTTAAATTGATACCGGCGGAACCGGATAAACACATGTATTTATGGACTAGAAATAATTAATATTAAACAAGAATAATAATATCCCAAATCATAATTTTATAAAATTTTAACAGCTATTTACAATTAGTTTAATACTATTTAGCCGAAATTGTGATTACCATCTATAAAATAATTTTGTAAGCCAATGTATCGCGTCCATTTCGGTTACCTAAGCCGCAAAACTGTCAATTTTTATGTGTGAAGTGGGAGCTGCAAAAAAAAACCTTTCCAACTTCTGTCCCTGCTATAACAATGGACTGTGATAAACCGTGTGTTCCGTATATCACCTTGGTTAACCTGGTTAGTAAAATCGCGTTCCGTAAATGTCAAATTCCTGAAAATTGTAGATTTACGGGACAATGTTCCTGAAATGCGGTTGGTACCAGCTGTCACCAAAGTGACCAAACTTTTTCATCGGTTGTTATGGTTGACGTTGACATTTGTGATAATCATGTGTCATATCAATTAAATTTGTTTTGGACTTTTTTAATTTTGGAAGAAGGAATATTTTAGCAATCGTAAAAACATCAAAAAATAATATCTAGTTCAAGTTCATAAATATAAAAGACATGCAAACATCAACATCCAACAAACAATGCATTGATTTGACCTTTGACATTTAGAAGCGTTCCGTAAATATTTCACTTATCAAAAACCAAAAACGAAACCGTCCTGAAAACGCTAGTAACCGCTTTAACCACACCGGTAATATTCGGTGATATACGGAACACACGGAAAGTGAGCAAAAGTAACCATGACAACGACTGTGTCAATTCTGTAATAGTTGTCAAAATTTTAAAGAGGTTAGGTTTGTGTTTTGTTTACAATTTGTAAATGTAAATATTCATGTAAAATATTGTCAATGATTCTATCGAGATGGATACAGTTTCTGCTTTCTATATTTACGAATATACAACAATACCTGTATCGCACGTGACTAAATTGATATCAATACGCTAGTTCAGTGATGATTTAATTATGGTTCCACTGACAATTAAAGTGACAGTACATTTTTTGAGTGCTTTTTGTTCGTTTTATTTACATACCTTTCAACTATTTTTTATGACCTGTAAACAATATTTAGGAATAAACTAAAAACAGTAAAAACGTATATGTCAAATATATTGATGTTTTTGTTAAAAGTTTGGTTAGAATTAAATGTCAGTGGAACCAAAATGACATTACACCGAACTAGCGTATTGGCTAAAAGCCACATTATTAACTACAGTAGTAATCTTAAAATAATGTCAGACTTATTTGTCAGAACGGATACTTAAGTTGTAATGAAAGTCACCGAGAACGGCCACTTTTACAAAATATCTTGTTTTATCAGATCTGTGGCCTATTTCATAAAATCTTGGAACTTTTCACTTTGCATATTTTAGTAAATTTATGTTTCATAAAAGAGAAATTTGAGAAGTTAAAAAGTAAAATTTGAAAAGAAATTTGCAGAATGAAAATTAATAATCTGCAAAGATAACGATATTATTTTATGAAAAAGGTCCCAGGTTAGATGCTGGTATTGCTGAAGGCTCAGTGACTAAGGTTCTTACTTTATAGAACAATCACAAAAAACATACGGGTTTTGAGTGAAATTATCCTCATACTACTAAGTAATGAAAAATATTATTTTAGTTACTAACCTTTGTCAGATTTCTTAACAGGAAACAATGGTGTTCCAATATAAAACATTTCTGTTGATGGCTCATCGGTTTCACTTGGATCAAGGGTAATAGTGAAGTGGCGGTCGGAACTTTTTCAACTTCCTTGCTGTTGTTGGCTTTCTTTTTGGCTTCTGTTTTCCTTGGCCTGCCTACCCTGCCTGGGTGTTTCTTATCGGATATTGCAGGTTCGGGAAGTTGTCTGACACGTTGCGTCTTTCCTCCTATGACACCGCGGCACATTTCGCTGCCACATTTACATTCCTAAAAAATAATAAAAAAAAGTGATATTTGCTGCCGGAACAAAAATAGAAGATACCTCAACACAATTTATAACAAATATACGTATATTAATAAGGACAGTTCTGTGGATCAAAATTTTATGACGTCAGAGATGTCTTTTTATTTGTCAAAATTAATGAAGATTTTCTAAATGTAAATATTAAAGAAAATCAAGTGTTTTTGAAAGTTGTTGTGGCGATGAGAAAAGTTGTTAATATGCCCAATAAGTTTCCAGACAACTGAGTGGTACATGTGTGGAACGAGTCCCCAGGGGAAGTCATAACACCAAAAACAAATTTAAAAACTCTCTGGATAGGCTGAGCCTGTGATAATATCTTTCGATGTGATATATTGTGATGTCTATTATACATTTATTTAATTTTACAGTGAATTTAAAAGCAGCTAACTGGCACTATAATAATAAAAAAATAAATAATATTAGCGAAACGCAATTTTGGTTTCACAGGGAATCCACAAGCAGATAGCAATAAGAATGCAGACCCTAGAAGGAGAAAACAGTGAAGACAATATACGAAGGAATGTGAAATTTTTTTGTGGTACAATATTTTTCTATATTTAATTTCAGAAAAATTTGAACTGCCCTATAATAATCTTAATGATTAATATTTTGGAAAATTATATTGGAAATTTCAGAAATTAGAAACATATTTAAAGCACAGTAGATGTTTGTAATTATGCCTGTGACAACATGAGGTTTTGTATAATACTAATTTAGAGTGAAAAAAAAAAAAAAAAAAAATGTTAACTGGACTTAGATAAATGTAAATACTAGAGGGGCCGAAAAGAGTATTATCGCGATTTCCAGCGAAAGTTGACGTTAAAAATAAAAATCTAAATCTACAGCTTTCGTCGAGGTCACTTAACCTCAAAATTTTCGATAAAAATGTAAAAGTTTGTTCAAATTATTTTTTGTTTTTTGTCATTCCTTCAAAAACAATTTAATTCCGATGTAATTTGGTGAAACTATACCTATGTTAAATAAGCACAATTTTGTATAAAAAATCCAAAAGATTTCGAGATATTAATTTTTTTTTGATTCAAAACCCTTTTTTTAAAGAAATTATACGGTGAAAAAATATCGTACAAAGTTTTGCAGGTACTCATTTTTTTCGTTTTGACATGTAGTTTTTGATAAAATAAAAAAAATTATAGTCACGATTAAGAAATGGACGAAAACAAAAAATAATAAGAGCTTATCATTATAATGACAATGCTCTGGGAAAGAGTTTGACTATAAAAGCTAGATGTCGCATTTAAAAGAAGACTTGAGTTTTGATATCAGAAATATTACTTTAATAAAGATATTATGTTACTAAAATATATAAATTTAACTTACTTGTCCTTCGGCAGGATTGAACAAAGAAAAGTTATAATCATAAGTCAACTCTTCTCCACCTTCTATGTCTCTAAGTGAGAACAACGCCATTCTAAACTGTCCATTAACAGACCATTTTTGCATTTCACAATTGGGATTACAAGAGTGATTTACAAATCGACCATCACTGCCCATACGGTGTCCATCAATTACGAGTCCACTGTCTAAATGAAGACAGTAATGATGGGTGTCACTGGTGTAGATAGTACCCATACGTTCTTTGAATTCTTGATCAGCTACTACTTCACCAACGTATTCGAGAATAAACTCACCATTTTTAATGGGAAGCTTGGTTTTGACACCCCAACCTAATACAAAAATCATGCATTTAATATATCTTATCTAAGACATTTTCATTCGAAAGGATTCAAAAAATAGTCATTAATATGATATCATTCGGAGCGATTTTTTTTTGTTTCTCATAAATTGTAAATATAATAATTTGAATTGATAGTCTATAGTGAATATTCAGTTCAATAAAAGGCTAAATTATCATTATTGGATTAACACGTTATCTTTGCAATTTTAGACTACATTTGCTGCGTTTGTTTATCCATGTCGGATGCATCCGAGATGTTGTGAATCGTTAATCATGTGATTCAAGGTACGTAAATTAGTTGGAGCAGATGCGTCCGATGTGGATAAACAACAGTAACAAATCGGATGTGCATATTCAAACGTAGCAATTTTATTTTACATTATATATTTTCTACTTCTTTTTTGGGCCGTCATTAAGAACACTTTTAAAAGTTTGTTATTAGGAATTTTTTGATAGTAGGTAGTTTATTTTTGTTAGGAAACTTTCTATGTGGCGTGCCTTCATTTTTTTGCAATATATTTGAGATTTACGAATAGCACACTTTATTTATAAAATAAAATTCAAGAGAATCTCATTACTAGATATTGCTGTACATGTAAGACTGGTTCAAGAACTATATGCATGTGCTCATATTTTAAGTGTTTTGTGGTACCTGGAATACATACGATTCGAAAATTATATAAAGTACTCCTTTAAGTGTTATTAAGGACTATTTTAGATGCTGTTGAAAGATGAGTCAGATTTTGAAGGTGTGTAAATAGTTAACGTATTTAATAAAACAGGTTTTTAAAAATGTAGTTTCTTTTATATGGATTAATTAGTCTAAAAATCTATGTAAGGAAACTGTATTATTTTTGTATTAAATATTATTTGTCTTTCTGTCACACCCTGTATTATTAATAAATATTATCCAGTATTTAATATAACAAGTAAAAGATCAGAAGTCATGTTATAATTATGGTAATACATGAAAATGCACCTTATTTCAGTAATTAATATTCCTATTTTTAGAATACTCTGTACGATTTATTTTACAAAGTGAAAGTAAGCTTTAACAAGCCATATACAAGTGTAACTCATGACATAAGTTTCATGAAAAAAACATGAATTACTTAAGAGTGCTAAAGATATATATGAAAATATTAATTCTGCACTCCTTACGTTTGATTCGTTCTGACAGCTCACCCTGCAGAGCTGCAAACTTAACATATTAAAATTGTAACAAATTCTGTCAGTACCCAAAATCAATGTAAAAAGTGCAGAGTCCTTTGGAGTATAGTTCACAAATTTCTCATGTAGATTTAACACCATTAAATATTAGCATATATTCATTGAATGTCTGTTATTGAAAAATTGCTCTTATTATGTAACCTCCTAAAGTTTCTTTGAACTTTGTTGCATCAAATTACTAAAGGGGGGTTCGAAGGAAGAAAAAATAATTAACTATTAGACCCATTAAAAATGAGCGATTTCGAATCATCCAAGTGTCCCACATCTATATGCAATATGTAAATTTCACTCTAAATGCCATGTAATACTATTTTTGTCTTTATTGATATAATTTACCTTTTGATTCTGTCATGAATTTTTCTATTCCTGGTGACCACTCGTGCCTCTGTATTTTCTGATTTTGACATCTATGGGAAGTCGGGCATTCAGAGAATACCAACCTGTTTATACAATCATCTCCGCAATTAGTGGATGGTTTGCAGTTACATTGCTGAGGCTCGCATGCACCTGTAGAATTTTTGACGTTGTAGATGTTTGTTCTTATTTTTCTGAAAAAAAGAAAATAGTGTTAGTCTAATCATAGAAGAAAAAATAAGGGTGTAATTAGACGCCCTGTGGATCGAGCGGATAGAATAGATCCACCCGGGCATTTACCATCGCGGTGGTAGAAGCACATCAAATGGCCACTTCTGGTACAAATAAAAAAAGTATAGTTATCGAACGCTCCATAGAATTGAAATGTCGGAATATTACTTCATTTTTTTTTATTTTCATTCAGTTTAATTTAATTATTTTTAAACCAATTCAATTTATTTTAAATCATCAAGATATGTCTTGTTAGGGACATCGAAATGTTGTTGTAAAGGTGTCGGGATATCAAAATTATGTTGTTTTTATCAATTCATTCCACATATTTTTATTTAATTTAACATTATTCACATGCCTTTGCAACATCAAGACATTCCAACATTAATTTTTACTATCTTACCTGTAATTCCAGGACGGGACAATGTCTCTTCCAGGCAATTGTGAATGAGTATGTTGCCACCAGATGTCATATGGTAGTTGGAAGGGAATCTTGCGACACCTTAAGTACCTTCCACAATGGTACGGTGGTGGTAAAAGACCATATGGATGTTCAGATGGATTGTAAGTAAAATTACGGAACGGCTTGCTGGCGTTTTCTGTTCGTTTTTGACGAACTGCTTCACTGAAAATAAAATATTTAATTAAACAATTAGGACTTATTTTTGATTAAATTCACATATAGGTACGGAAATTTGAACGTGGACCACCTATTTTACAATGAATTGGACAAAGTATAATAGGACCATGCATGAAACAAAAAAATACCGCTAATTATCGCAGGGCGCCTGGTGTACGGTATGTGTGACTCCCACCTCATTCCCACTTACGCTCGTTTCTAACAGATTTGGTTTATATGGTCCGCATTTATATTTCCGAATCTGTATATTAAACATCTATTAAATAAAAATTTTAGTTTCCATACAAAACCATAAATATATTAAATTTATTATCTCTCCAGCACAAAATTCTGCTACCCTAAAATTTTAACCAAGTTTGATGTTTTATAACTTTTTTATGTTTTATCCTATTTTTATGGATTTTATACCAGTTTGTAGATACATTTATTGTAATAAGTAACATTTATACAGGGGCAAATCAAAATGTTGTCATAGTTTACTAACCGATTGAGAGTAAAAATGATTTTGATACTATTATTTTTAATAAGAATAAATATGAAACAAACTTTTTAAACAAATTACTTAAGTTGATATTTAATTTATTCTTTTGGAGCTTATATTTCAAACACTAACCAGGAAAAATCGTTAAAACACATAAAAGTAAGTACTCATTCGTTGTTTCTTCTTTTTTTAAACTATATTCTTTTGTTTATAAGAAATTCAGCAAAATTATTTAATTTAATTTTTCGTTCTCACATAGCACTTTTCCAATGTTGCAAAGTTTGTTTGAATAAGTCCACTTATAGACCTGTCCATCGGACATGTCTATGGACTTTTCCGAGCAACCCATCAATACTTCGAAATAACTCCCAGACAAAAATAATTCAAACTATATATAATTATTTAAGAAAATATCATTTTTAAAACACGTTTGTATAGTACTAAATATTTACTAAACGCGCTGCTGTAAATGGATTGTTATTTTGTATAAAAATACATAGAACATATTGTTCTAGACTTCCCAATGTATATTACCTTAAGGGATTCGTTAATTACTGAACGACGGAGTCATTCAAACGATTTGGATTGCATGCTAATATCAACAAACGAAAACAAAATTCGGCAATTATACCAGTTCTTAAGTGGTGCAATGAAATTAAGATCATTTAAAATAAACGAATAAACACAAATTTTTACACATACATAGTTATTAGGGTGTATCACTTTTAAGCAACTTTTTTTTTCAACTAAAAATCAGGCTAAAAATTTTCAGGAAGGTGAAATGAGAAGCCTCTAAAAATTTAAGCTCTTAATATTATCATTTAGTGGTGCCTGTTTCTAACTTTCCATTTTCCATCTAAATGACATGAAAAAAATATGTTACTTTTTTCTTATTTTTGTGGCTTACATTTGAGCATTGTGAAAATAAAGTGAAAAATTATTTTGATAGGAAATTGAATGCTCTACAAAAAGTTCTAATTTATTTTTTTCATAGAGTGAGCCGTTCTGAAGATATTCAAACTTAAAGTTGCAAATGTATGAAATTAGGACTTTTATTTTATTAAAATAATGACTTTTTTATGACTTAAAAATTATTTTCATATAAAACTAACATAACGACGTACAAAAGACAAAAATTCACCAGAAATATTTTTAAACAAAAATATTGAAATTCAAAATCGTTTATTTTACATAATTTAAGTAGTACATTAACAGAACATTGTTTGGAATGGATTCTCTAAGTCACGAGTGACTTGTCGAGAGTACATATGAGTGACTCTGTTTCAAAACAATTATTGAAACTTTTTGATAAATTTGATTTGCCGTATGACTTTCTGGATAAAGATGTACTAATTTGGCCAGATAATGAAAGTTATCAAGAGAATTTGGAGTTTTTCGAAAAACTGAAAGTTGTCAATGACGTTGCAGGACGTGGCGTCGCATTAGTAGAAGAATATAATAGTTGCTTAACTAAAGAACTATTTTAATATTACAAGTGGTAAAGGAGCACCGACGAAAATATCCAAATTGTAATAAAAAAACTTCAACAAATATAGTTACATCATTTAATTTTGATAAGACATTAAAATTTCTATTAGTTTCAAAATTGTAGTATGCTAATATGCAATTTGATCGGGCACGGTGGTGTAGCGGTCTATCGCGCTTATATTCATTTATAGGCAACTTTATGAGTCTGAGACTGCTGGGTTTCGAATCCCAGACCAGACCATGTGGATTTTTAATTAAATTGCATGGTTCGGTTTAGGATTTGATGTGTGGCGTATTAATAGAAATTCAATTTCTGTTGATATGACATGCAGATTAAAAAAATTCGCCATACATTACCGTCTCGATGATGGTGGGTGAGGTTTTCCGGGTTTTCCTCACCTGTAAGTCAAATGGCACCATCAATCATCTTTAAGTCGCCCCGGAGCGCCACGGCAAATAATAATAATAGCCGTCCCTTTCCCCGGACAAGCTCAGCTTTTGGGGTTAAAATTCACTCGTAAGGGGGTGAATTAGGGAGAGTATTATTATTATTATTATTATTATTATGTTAAAAAGTTTTTTTTATTTATAAAATAATAATTTTACTGAACCTAATTCATAATTACTTTTGTTTAATAGTTAATCAAATAATATCTAAGATGTAATTCTTTTTATTTTAGCTTTCTAAAAATAGCGCACAAAAACCAGTTTTTTTAAGACATAAAAAAAGTCAATTTTATACATTTGCAACTTTAAGTTATAATATCTTCAGAACGGCTCATTCTATGAAAAAATAAATTAAAACTTTTTTGTAGAGCGTTCAATTTCCGTTTCAGTTTATTTTTACAATGCTCAAATGTCAAGCTACAAAAATAAGAAAAAAGAAAAAAAAATTTTCCATGTTATTTAGATGGAAAATGGAAAGTTAAGAACAGGCACCACTAAATGATAATATTAAGAGCTCAAATTTTTAGAGGCTTATTTTTTCACCTTTCAGAAAGTTTTTAGCCTGTTTTTTAGTTGAAAAAAAAAAAGTTGCTCAAAAATGAAACACCCTTATTTATATTCTATTTTTTCTTACACTGTACATTTCTTTTAACTTCACTCTTACTCAATGTATTTCTTTCAAGTTTACTCTTACTTTAATTTACTATTACTCTGTGTATTTCCTTCTACTATGTAATCATATATAAGTAAATTTAATAATTTGTTAAATATTTAACTGATACTGTCTCCTTGTTCATGTATCTACGAAGGAACAATAAACTATTTATTATTATTATAAAAATACTTACTCATGTTCTTTGTAATAATCCGAAAATAGCCCAGCTAGAAGATACTTCTTTTTCCACCTCAAACTTCTCCTTCCTCTTTTCTCGTCTCCAGAGGTAGAAGCACGATCATCCTTCAACCTTCTTTCCATTAACGGTTCTATACTACTCGCCGGCGAAGTATCTCGCAGTTTTCGTTTCGGATAGTTACTCAAAGCGTCCAACAATTTCTCTCTACTTCTCTTGCGTTTTCCGCGTTCCTCCAATCTGGAACGCAGTCGTTCTATGCTGGATTCTAGTGACACGTCTAGATCGTTTTCGATATCATCCGGCTTGGATTTGCTACGTTCACTGCTTCTCGTTTCTACCGAAGTTGAGGGCGAGATGTCTCTTTGACGAAGAGTCATTCTAAAAATATTTACAGGTTGTAAAAACATAATATTTATATGAAAAAGGATAATTTCCTGACCGTAGTAGAATTTTATATAAATAAAAAGTTCACTGGTTTATTCGGTCGTTTTTATTGTTTCTATAAAATTTAAGTACAGGCACTACATATGTTTCGAAAACATCTTCTGGTGCCAGTCAACAATTAATAAAATACGGGAACACTTACAAACATTTTAAACTAACAGAGACGGGTCTGTTTGTAATCGTCCCCATATTTTATTAATTATTGACTGGCACCAGAAGATGAAACAGTGTTTCTGAAACAAATGTAGTGCCTGTAATTTTATAAAAACAATAAAAACGACCGAATAAACCAGTGAACTTTTAATTTATATAAAATAATATTTATAGATTTCTAAAACTTTCAATTAAAAAATATAAGCTATTTTTAAGATAACTTTTAAATAACTGCAAAGTAGTGTCAATGGAATAAAACTAAATTATCAAACTTTTATTGAATTAATGTCAAACCAGGAGAAACTAAATTTTAAAGTTAATCAACGTTTGCATTGTTGTTGATTTATGTTAAAAATTACTTAAGAGGGACCGAATCTGAGTTTATAGGACCAGAACAATTCCTTGATATTGGATAAGAGCACTGCCAAAGGATTTATCTCGAAGTGCAAGACTTATTTGAAAGCGATTAATTTCTATAATGATGAACCTCTACTCAGATCCATGTATGCAGTAAGTAGAAACGATCTACGCATTTTTACGATACTTAAGACAGGACATTGTAGTCTAGGTAACCACATGAGAAGGATAGGTATGCAACAAACATCGGACTGTCGATTCTGCATTGAGGAAGACAAATCTGCAGAGAACATTCTATGTACCTGCTCCGCCTTGGAAAGGATTAGGTTCCAGATCTTTACCCAATTTAAATCTACTGACTTTAAACAAGTATCACCTAACCTAACCATGGCCTTCATCAAGGCCTATATGAACATAATTTTGGCATGAGCCACAATAGATCCATCTGGGTCACAGTAGAAAGGGATGTGATCAAGCCACTCATTGTCAACCTAACCATTATAAGGATTAGATTTAGATAGTACATCTAATTTGATCCAATATGATCCAGTGTTCAAAAATTAGTGGAAAGTTCTAATATTAGTAAGAAGAAAAATACGCTATCCATACACCAACGTGACCTGAAGTAAAATAGTTTGTAAACTGCATATTTGCAGTAAATACATTTCCATTTAAATATAAAAAGAGCAATAAAAGTTGCTTAAAAGCAATGTATACCCTACCAATATTTCAATACAGGGACTGTGCCAATTACAACAAATATTTTTCCTGACTAATAAAAAAGCAATTACGTGATTAAATGCAAAAATTCACAGGCTGGCTGCAAAGAGATTGGGCCAATTTAATAATTGGAGAAAATAATTTTTATAATATAAAATGTAAACCTCCTAATTCGGGTGATAAAGAGGTATTTCTAAAAGTTCATCTTTCAGCCTACCTGAATTTAAAATTACAGTCAAAAACTTGTTCTCATACAACAGGAAAATGAAAAATTATTTGAAAAGTGAATTAGGTGACATAAAAGATTACATAATATTGGACCTAAAAGAAAATGACCTAAAAGAAAATTACATCTTTAGGATATCAAACTAGTAAATACTTCAGTAACGTACACTGAAAGTTTTATTCTAACCTCTTAAAAAAATGGCTTAACCAACCATTTTCTCTTAGGTTGTATTTGTTGTTCTTCAAGCTCCTCGAAATTTAGGGCTATTATAGCACTGATAGATTTAACCTGCTTTGCAGTAAACAGAATAGAAAATATTGTCATGACAGTCTCATTGTCACATCTGTGATAGTGGCAGTAATACTTTCTTGTGTAAGTGCCGCGTAAAAGAATCTTTAAGATTGTAAAAAATGACAAACTGATTTTTATCTTTATCTTTGTCGGTTATAAGCAGGTAGGGGTTGATTTGGCCCAGAACACTGTTTCCTCTTGGGTCCATTGTATTACCCTACTTTCCCCATGTTCGCGTACTACATTTGGAATAGTCCTGTGCCTTTGGTTAATTTTAGTAAGTTCCCTTCCTACCAAGTGTTCCTGGGGCGTTCTTTCCGGTTCTAGGCCAAAAAAGGTTGAGACGCCACTTAGCAAGAGCTTCCCATGCGAAGATCACATGCTATAAAGTTTCTTCCCGAGTCTACATGTGGTGGGAGCTTTGACAAAATGGTTCGTAGGACATAAATAAAGGCAGAAAATATGAGTTTCCAAAGTTGACAACTGATGGTAAAATAGAAGATGGAAGAGAATGGGGCAAGAGAAAATATTTATGGTTTAAAAAGCGTAAGAGACTGGTAAAGAACGATTTACCGATTTTTTTGTAACAACATATGACTGTATCATCTATCGAAAATCCTGTGTAATGAAACTCTAATATTGCTAAGAACTAAATTGTAACATAATATGTGTATTTAGAGTTAACGATGTAAAAGATTCTACACATCAACAGCATTTTCTGCATTCCCTCGTTTATAGTGCATACATACATAAAAAAAATTACGAGATTCTCATTATGCAAATAACCATGTGATCTTTAATCTCTCATTCCGTCTTCAAACTATAATTTAAAATTCTATTGTAAGTATAAAAAGTTAAAAAAAAATTCAGTCAATATCTTATAAAAGAAAAAAATTACCAACAAGGAACCAACAAATCAAAACGATTCGCAGATATGTAATGGCTTACTTCATACATATTAAGTAAAGGTTATTTGTAATAGCTTTGATTAAGTCATTTATGTATTTCTGAAAGAAAACTTGGAATTTTAATTAATCTATTAATACCAGATATTTTATCAAAATAAAATTTTTCTAAATCCCAGAAAAGTTTGCAGTAAATCGATTTATTTCAATTACATCCTGTATATACTGTAATATTAATAATTTTCTATTTATATATTAACGAAATGAAATTAATAAAACGTATCAATCTATTTGTTAAAATAATCATAAATAAAAATAATTTACTTCATTATCTAGAAAATAATTGACTGTTAAGTTGAAGAATTTGAATAAAGTATTATTCAACAGGTTAAATAAACCATTAGAAAATAAGAATACTAACCTATCTGGTTTCATATCATCATCAAAATAAATTCTTTCATCTTGTGGCAAGCTTTCACATTCACTCATAAGCTCCCATCTGGAGGGATCATCTATCTTGGCTTTTTCTGGTGTCATTGGTCTTAATACAGCATTTTCAGATTTTTCAGTTCTTTGCACGAATTTGGTATATTCTTCACCTTCCTTGGGCACCCGATCACAAGGGTGAGAAGGCTGAGACTCCACTGGAAGAGTAGGGGAAGTTTCTGAAGCTGACTTTTTCTTCTTTCTTCGTATTGTTGGGAAACCTATAATAATAAACAATAGTTAACGTCGACGTTGTTCCTTTTTATTATTACTAGCAATTATCAATAAATCAAAATAATTGCCTCTAACTAAGAAATATTCACAAATTTTAGATAAATACTCATTGTATAAATAAATATATCTGATAAGTTGATTTATGCAACAGATAGTGGTTTAAGGCAATTTAATTTTTTTTTCCTTAGTCGGTAATCTAGTATCCACTTCACAGTGCAGCACCATCAATCATTTATATAAAATTGATTACACACGTCCAATAGATCCATAAAATTCACATTCAAAAACATTCACCTTAAACAACAAAAATCAAATCCCATTTCGTGAAAATAACACCTAACACAGAGCCAACAATATTCAACACCACCAAAGAGCCAATGAAAAAGGAAAGCAATATCAATTCTTTTAAGAGCATAAATAGCAAGAAATTAAGAAAGCCGTGTCACTGCCTCTCAGTCCTTCTTTGCAGGTCTCAGTTTTGATTCAACCTACCTTCATATAACATAAAAAGTTTAACCTTACTTTAAGTAACATGAATGTAAAACGTTGTAAGTGTGTCACGTAATATTAATAAAAACCATTATTAGAATAAAGGCGTTCTTTAATTTATGGAGGCCTGATGCGAGACGTTTAGGCACTTCCAGGCAAGTACTGAAACCTGGCCCTCTTCACCATATTGACGACAAATACCTAATATAAGGTCTTTATTGTACCAATACTTAAATTAGAGAACCTTTCAAATTAAATGAAGAAAAATCAGACTAATTTACATAGAACAGGAGTGCCACAAGGCAGTGCCCTCGAACCACTAGTGTATGTTTTATACACATTAGATCTACTGATAGCGCAAAATACAATAACAGAGACGTTTGCAGATGATACAGCTATTGTCTCCTACCATGAAGAGCCACATATAGCTTCAGACGTCATACAAAGTCATCGTAATAACCCCCAACCGTGATTGAAGGAGTCGAAAATAAATCTGCGCATTCACCCTTAAAAAATAAATATGCCCAGCAGTCACAATAAACAATAAATGGCATAAACACAAAATGTAAAATATTTATAGATATTAATAGATAAGAATTAGAAACAACACATCACAAAACAAACTGAAATTAAGAGAGGAGTAGCTGGTACCACTGTAATAAAATCAAAACCATATGGGCATAAGGATTGGAACTATGGGAATATGCCTGTAAATTAAATATTACCAACATGCAATCATTTAAAGAAGCCAAATTCTAGATGCTACCTGGTATATACCAACCATACACTACATAGACCTTCATATTCCAAAGGTAAAATAAACTATTTGTAAAAAAAGCCACCAAAACACCATTATGTCATATAAATCCATCTTAACTCACAAATGGAAAAATTTCTGGAATCAGTGATCAACAAAAGACCTAAAAAGTTGTGGTCTATAGAACTAATCTAGATTTATACAGGTCATTAAATCAATGGTATGCTTAGTAAATATGAGGCATGGTTGGGAGGGGATGTCCACAGGAAGAGGTGTTATCACTCTACTGTGAAACATGGTCCTCGACATCCTTATCAGTTACCTGAATAATGACAGTCACTATACAATAACATATGCAGATGACCTGGTATTTCTGCAAACATGGAATTTTGAGAACATAAAGAATGCAAGTAGCTCACAAAATTATAGAACAGTAGTGCAAGGATGATTCAATGTCTATCAATCCCAAAATTAAAACCTCCAGAATTTCTAAACACAAAGCTAAACTTTGCAAGAGAGGTGAAGTACCTAGGTCTCACCTTTGACAGCGAGTTAACATGGAACAGAGTCAAAAGAGCATACATTGCTTATGCACATTGCCTCCGAACCATGTGGTGTACCTGAGGTTTCTCCCTCAGAGTCGTCGCATGGACTTACACGGCCTTTATAAGACCTATGCTATCATATGGTGCATTTGTCTGGGTACAGAAAACCCAAAATTTGACAGCTATCTGCAAACTAGAATAAATTCAAAGAACAGCATGTCTCAACATAACAGGAGCCATGAAAACAACACCGACCAGAGCCATGAAAACAACACCGACCAGAGCCATGAAGTCATTCTTAGTCTCACTCCCCTTGATATTTACATCAAGGAGGTTGCTCTGATGACAATTATACGCCAACACACGGTTGGAATAGAATCTGATGTAGGATCTGGTGAGGCGAGATGTCTCTTTTGGCAGGAGGCACTCGATACGCTCCTACTGCTTCAAGCGAACATGGACTCCATCTCACCGATATATATCTTCCATTAATAAAGTTATAACAGAACAAATAAGAGATCCAGAAGTGGCAGGTACGATTCAACAAGGCTCAGGCCTAAACATAAAATGGGCTGTGAGCAATAGTGCCAGTGTAGTTCAAACTGAGCTCACATGGATTCTTATAGCAGCAAAATAAATCACCAGAAATAATATCACTGGAAAAAACATGCTCATCTTTACAGATAGCAGACAAGCACTACTCACTCTGGACAAACCACAAATTTATTCAGAGTTAGTACTAGAATGTCACGAAACTTTGGGTGAAGTATCCATCAACAATGAGGTCAACTTTAGACGGATCAAAGGTCACGCCGCAGCTTATATCAGCGGTTCCCAAAGTGCGCCTATCTAAAATAGGTACTAATTATTAATTTCGGGTAATATTGTAATTCAAATTTCACATTACTATAAATTTTCAAAATTCCCTACTTCGTACAGTCAGGTAAAAATTGAATACATTATACTAATAAGAACTGTCAAAATATTACTTCTAAAAATCTTTATTCCAATAAATAAGAATACATCTAAATAAAACCAACATTGTTAAAATAAACTGGTTCTTCATAATAATCCAGAATGCCGTCGACTTTCCAGACCCAGTCGATGCATTCGTTTATCTAGGTATATACCCTTTGCGCGACAAGTGACACTTGCCAGACACATGGGGGTGTACACTTGACTTACATCCACGGGTGTGACAAAATTCGTTAACAATTATTTCAATTATAAAAACATTTTTTAATCCGACATCAGTAGTGACAAACCTAATTAAAGAACATTCTTCCCTTGTGAAATTCAAGGAAATATAGGATGAAACAAGAAACTGAAGAGTTGCCAGGGAGCTCTTAAGTTATCCTGACAACACTGCAGCAAACAAATACTTGACATAATCTACGCCTAGTCACAGGCATTCTGACTGGTCACTGCCAAGTATGAAGCATCTCCATATCATGGGGCTGTCAGAATCCTCACTCTGCATGGAGTGCGAACAAAGAGATGAGACCATCGAGCATATCCTCTACGATTGCCCGACGCTCTCATTTATTAGAAGATTTGTGCCGATATAAGAGAAGCACCACTTGGCGACATTGTCAACTACATTAAATCTGTAAGCTCGAGCACGAGCTAAGTCCATGGGTTAAGCCACCGTCCACATGTTACAGATCCAGATGCTTACTGTTAATCATTATGTATTGCGTAAATAAAGCATAAAAAACATCTCGCTAGGTAAAAAGAACTTTATATCAGACCATCTAAGATATGGAAGCTGTAGTGCCGCCACGGTTGAACGGTTAGGCCAGACTAGGGTGACAGCAGGGGAGTCCTAAGTATACAAAGAGTCTAGGAGAAATACTAGCTGAAAGCTACGAATACAAAAACCAATATTAGTCATAATCACAGATCTCCAATGAACTTAAGATAACCTGAAAGGAAAAACTGAACAAAGTACCAAAAGCAGTTAGTGGAGGTGATGTATAGTATATTATACGATTGATAAATAAAAAAGAAACAGGACAGTAATACAAGAAATTAATACATATTCCAGTGGGATAAAAGAGACCAAGTAAAGCTACTAGAGGACCATAATTGTGGAGAAATATTTGGAATCAAATTGAAGAACAAATAGGTAATATTAGGATGGTTCTAGATGAATTATGTGGGGTTGGTTAAAGTATTAATAAATCGATTTTAAAAATATTACCTGTTCTATTAATAGCACGTCTTTTCCTAACTTTCTTCTTAACAGACTCTGGGGACAATTTAGTGTTGGGATCATTGACAGGCTGTTCCTTTACAATAACCTCTTCAACTTTCTTAATAAGCTTCTTATCATATTCCTCGGCCTCAGGCGATCTTGGTAGAAGATTTCTTTTTGCTTTCAACTCCGTGATAAAAGATTCAATGCTAATTTTAGGTTTGTCTTTTTCAGTAATAATTTCTTCTTTAATAGTTATAGGTTCTTCCTTAATAATCGAAGCTAATTTTACTTTTTCGGTCATTTCTAATCTATGCCTTTTTTTGGGAGTTGTAGCAATGGAACTTGGCGGCCGTTCCGTAACTTTAGTTTCTGGAGTTTTTCCTTCAGCATACCTATTAATGCAAGCTTCAATGGCTTCTTCAATGTGGCTACCGATTGCCGTTGTTGTGTCTTTTATTACAGGCTTGGTTTCTTTAACTTCTTTAATGACACTCTTAGTGGGTTCTTTTAAGTCATAGTCATTGTTGTTGACATTCTGAGCTTTAGGTGAAGCTGTACCATTAGATTTAATAACAGGGATGTGTCTAGGAGGTACAGGGTGTTTCACAGTTTCTGCTTTAGGAGGTTTATCAGTAGTACTCGTTTTTTGTCTTTCTTTTTCTACTTTACTCACAGTTACGTTTTGCTTTTCTTTGTCTATTTTACTCGCAGTTACGGTTTGCTTTTCTTTTTCTACTTTACTCGCAGTTACGTTTTGCTTTTCTTTTTCTATTTTACTCGCAGTTGCGTTTTGCTTTTCTTTATCTACTTTATTCGCAGTTACATTTTGCTTTTCCTTTTCTATTTTACTCGCAGTTACGTTTTGCTTTTCTTTTTCTACTTTACTAGCAGTTACGTTTTGCTTTTCTTTTTCTACTTTACTCGCGGTTACGTTTTGTTTTTCTTTTTCTACTTTACTTGCAGTTACGTTTTGCTTTACCTTTTCTTTAGGTTTATCAGTTTTATTTGCTTCTTCAGGTTCTATTTTAACTTCTTCAGGTTCTTTACTTTCACTACTGTTTACCATATGATAATGCCTCTTTTTAAGAGGTAAACGCTGCTCATTTGAGTTATTAACTTTATTATCTGTCGAGCTTACGCTCTGCTTCTTTTTCTTCTTCTCAGCATATTCTGTAGTTTTTCGTTTCTTTGTGACCTTCTTCAACGTTTTTAGAATTTGTTCTGGAACATTTTCTTTAGGTTGTTGCTTAGTTGCTATAACACAATATTTTATAAAGTCTGCTATGAGCTTTTCAATTTCTATGCTTACTTTGGGATTTGTTGCCACAAGCGGTTTCAAAATTTTAAATTTGTATTTCCTGTGTTTTTTATGTTTGTGTTTGCTATGCATAAGTTTGGGTACTTTGAGTGTCTGAAATTTATTTTTCTTATGTGCATTCTTTGTACTAAGTACTGGCACACTTCTAGGTTTACCTTTAAAAGATTTCGGTTGGTTTTCTTTAGACTTTTCTACATTTTTCACATTGTTCTGATCTGCAACTAGTGGAGGTCTGTGCTTTGGCGGCCTTCCTGGACCTTTTTTACCAGCTGGTGGTCTTCCAGCTAATCTCCGCGGCGGATATAGTACTCTATCGGCATTAGCATACATAACCCTATCAAATCTATTGGACGTAACTGGTATTTTGTTTATTTCTTTTGATTTAGCTATTGCAGGTACTTGTTTAATATTATTGTTAGTTCTAGTAGCAATTTTTTCGGTTTTTGTTTTTATTTTTTCTGCTTTTTTAGTTTCCTCCTTAATGGGAACAGATTTTTGTTTTATTGCCGGCGAAAGGATAGGCTCAGGACTGGATACATGATCAGGACTGTTCTGAATACCAGAATCGGGAGAAACATTTGGATTTGTACAATATTCCTGTGATTTTTCTACTTGAGTAATATTATCAGATTTTTTGGGCCTGCCTCGACGTTTTTTAACATTCTCTGTATCAGGTTTGTTACTTTGAGTGTCTAATGAACTGCTGGGAATTACAGTAGGCTCCAAAGGTTCGCTAAGTGAAGGCATAGGCGGACAAGGAGCATTTAAAAGCTGCGTCTGAGCTACAAATTGCTGTAATAAACTATTGGCATACAAACTAAACGGATTTGGGGGCGCATGTGATTCTCCTTCGCTAGAACTTTCTGTGGTTCTCTGTATTAATGCATTGACAGCTTGTTGTGGTAGCTCCATATCAGATCCGGATACATCTCCGGTGGCTGGAGAATTTTTGTCTGTACGGTTACATTCAAAATCAAAAGCATCGATTTCCTGTTGGTCTGGCAAGATAGCGGCAAGGTCTTCTTGGCGAATTTCTTGTAGACTGCAAGAAGCCAACATGGCACTGTCTGCGTCCGAATCGTCTGAGTCAGAACTGGAATAAGTGGAGCCTCTTGAGAGTGGCAGAGAAGCCATCTGAAACAACAACAAAAAAAAGATATAAATAAAATTTATAAAAAACAACAAAAGTTAGAGACCAGAACAATAAAATAATAAATTTAAACACTAGGCAGAGTCATTTAAATTACAATACATTACTGTGCCATCGAGTATGAATCTAAGTTTCAAAATAATTAAAACAAAGATAACTTAAAATAAAAGGAAAAGAGAAAAAATCTCAAAGAGCGGGTCACAGCAAAGTTGACCCTTTCCCTCCTGAAAACAACAGGCTATGCACATTATATTAGTAGGAAAAGATCAGAGAAAAAATAATTTACAATCAAAGGTATAGTTGTACACATTTGAGAAATTGAAATTTTTCCTGCAAATATTACTTGTTCTAAATTCATTGTATTTTTAAAATATATGTGTAGGTGTTTATTAATCTTAATAATTTTTAGTGGTAATATAGTTTTAAGTTAAATGAAATTCAAGTCCACTAATAGATGTATGAAAAGGGTAAATTTAGCCTGTGCTACATCTAAGAAATGCCAAACGAATCATATCTCTGATTTAACAGATATTTGAAGAAAAAAAATATTAAATAAAAATTTACTATATTTTGACCCTTTTCAACAACTTAATAAATATTTATGAAACCAGTTACGAAATGCCTGATTTTATGTAACGGGGGAATATTTGCGGGACAAGCAGAGCGAGGTCTCGCAACATAAACGAGTTACATAAAACGGCATTTCGTAATGTGTTACATACAATATTTTTTTCTAATTTTGACCAGATTATAAAATTATGTATTTGTAAAAAATTACTGACATCTAGGCAACCGATATTACTACTTTCTTGTATTGTTTGTTAGTTGCATTTGAATAACTTCATTCTTCTATTGACAAATAGAAAATAACATTAATTTATTCTTAACGAATTGTTGCCATGTGTTCATATTGCTTGTTAAAGTTATTTAAATTTTAATAAAGTAGGTTATTTTGTCTTGTATTGTGTTTTAATAATTTTGTGCTAATTTAGAATTGAAAATAAGGACAAAAACAACATTATTACTAAGTTGAAAGTTTAATAAAATTCTATTTTTATAAGTCAACCTGCCCTTCTTTGTAATAAACTTTCAATAATAATATATATTATTGATTTTAAAACCAAAAAGGGGTTTTTTCTTTTCACAACTGGTGAATGAATTTTTGAAACCTGTTTCATAATATTCAACATTACGCAACTGGTTGCATAAAGCAATCATTTTGACACTTGCGATTACAAAAAAATGTCACTTTATATGTCAAAATTAGTTTAGATAATGAAATCTGGTTTTAACTAGTCTTTTTGTCTTTTCTTAGCTCATTTCCAGTTTAATCAGAAATGATATAACATATTTTTAGATATTCAAAAGTCTCTACTTTTCGGTTTCTAAAAATGTTTTAAAATTATTGTAAATAGATATATAAAGAAATCTGGTTTTCACTAGTCTTTTTGTCTTTTCTTAGCTCATTTCCAGTTTAATCAGAAATGATATAACATATTTTTAGATATTCAAAAGTCTCTACTTTTCCGTTTCTAAAAATGTTGTAAAATTATTGTAAATAGCACTTTGAACAATCATCGACCTAATTATTATACTCTTGTACTCTTATACTACTTGTACTTTGTCCATCCGTCCGAGTCACGTTATTTGTCCGTACGATAAGGCAAAAACGAAAAATGATATCAACTTGAAAATTTCAGGAAAAATCAAGCTCTATAATGGGACATAGCCTATTGGTTTTGAAACAATCTAATTAAAAATGGGGTGAAAAGGTGGTTCAAATTAAAAAAAATCATATATTAAAAACAAGAACACATTTTTATTAAAAATCAAGTTCTATAAGATGAAGCCTACTGATTCTGAAAAAAAAAAAAATCAAAATGACTTGGGGAGTTAAGGGGGGTGGGGTGCTAAAATATATAAAAAAATGTAACTCAAAAACGAAAAATGATATCAACTTGAAATTTTTAGCAAAAATCAAGCTCTATAAGGGGAAGAAGCCCTTTGATTTTGAAAAAGAAATTGAATAAAAATGGTTAAGGGAGGTTGAAATATATAAAAAAATACAAATAACAAACTGAAAGCGATATAAACATGAAATGTTCAGTAAAAATCAAGCTCTATTAGGGAATGTATAAATAAATAAATAAAATTGGGGAGACACAGAGGGTTGAAATATTAAAAAAATCCTAACTCGGAAACAAGATTAATAAGGGGATGAAGCCTATTGAATCTGAAAAAAATCTGATTAAAAATGAGGGGTTAAGGGGGTCTGTTAAACTGTGAAGGGTATAATATAGAATACTTAATTAAAGAAAAGGGGCAATTATTTTAAACTGCTCTAATTTGTATACAAAAAAATGTTATGTTTTAAAAGTAGATACTTTTTGAATATCTAAAAATATACAGGGTGTTCTATTTGTTTTTAGATAGATGCCCTCCCTATCCCCGATAATAAGCTGTTATTTCCGGTTAAACCGAAAGAGAACAAAAAAGGTAAAATAAAAAAAATAGAAGAAAACCACATCATATTTTATCACAACTAGTTTAAAAGTTATAGAGGCATGAAAAGGGTATTTATTTTTGATAGTACAAAAATTCTATTAAAAAATGTTGCTACAATAAAATTTATGGTGGTATGCAAAATTTAAGGAACATTCATAATCGTAATTATTCTTTTGGATCAATTTATTCTTATTCCTGTCTTCTCCATGGCCTCTACAAGTGTCTGAGTTTGGAGTTAACCTTTTTTCTCCTTCGATATTTTGAATCTTTTGATAATAAAAAGATGAGTACCGATTTTACTAAAATATTGCCATCAAGCTTAAGTTTCAATAGCCTTTCTTTATTAAATTGTTGCAAACTTCAAAATTTGTTTAGAACATTATAAGAGCCATTTGCCTTTGGCATTTCTAGCAAGTTACAATTCTAAAAAAAATATTTACCTACACGGTGTACATATAATATCTATTTTAATTGGATTATTCAATATTCTCAAATTCAAAAAAGTTACATTAAAATAAATGTTAAAATTATTAAAGACACATTATTAATTAAAATACTGTTCGCGTAATTATGTTTCCATAATTTCTCACAATCTTTAATGTTTAATATTTCATCAACAAATTTATTACTCTATGATTGAGTAGGTACTTATATGTAATTTTTTTAAATATTTCAGGAGTTTGAAACTGTTCAATTGTATAAATAAAATTTTATAGACTATAATTTATTAAATATGACGGCTAAAGCAGATAAAATTAAATTAGTGCTTTTTATTCTAAGAACTATTGCATATTATTAAATTATTATCTTAACTAATGCTAAACCAATCCTTTAAAAATGATAATACATATTTTGGGGTCTATTCTGTAACAATTCCTTTATATTTAACGGCCTTTAAAAATATTGACGGCCTATAAAAATATGTTCGTATTCGTTAATTTACTTCTATCATTATTTAAACAGATTTCTTTAAGATAGTCCTCTAATGTATTTTAAAGATCCGTTTAAATAGTGACCGAATTAAAGAAGAAAATATTTTTAAAGGCCGTTAAATATAAAGAAATTTTTACAGAATAGACCCCATTATATGGTAAATAGTAATTAATAGTAAAAAATATTAAACCTTGTACAACATAATTTTCAGAATTTTAGAATCCACAATTTCCATCTCGAAGCTTCTAAAATAATTATTTTCTGTTAGTAGCGTCACCGCATACACCATCTAGCAGAAGGGATAAAATCACCCCTTATTATAAAACAGCTGCACATTCCGAAATCACAAAATTCTAACATAACTAAAAAAACTCGCGCTCCAATATTAATATTTGAAAATTGTAAGTAGTTTTTCATTAAGAAAGTACGGAATGAAACAGGCAATTAAAATGAAAATGGTAAAACGCGTCATATAATGTTTGTTGCATCAAAAGCGCCCGTTAAAACGACTGCATGCATGTATGTATGTGGAAATGCGAAGGGTTCGAAATTTGGTTATGGTGCCGTCCCGCCAACGGTCGTGGATGGTCCGATTAATCGATGCTATAATGTTCCCTATGTGTCATCCGTGTGTTAGTCTGGGCGCTAAAGATATTTATTTGAAGTGCATATTACCGAAATAAATATTGTCAATAGAAAATTGAGTTGCCTAAACCAAAAAAATTCAAAACAACCTTTTTTTACATTATTATTTTAAAATAATTTCTGTACAGGCCAAAGTTGCCTATTCCTTAAAATTATTCGTTTTCGTCTAGTAGATTCAGGTAAAGGGCTATGATCTCCGATCAGTCACTTAATAATTTAAACAAAAATGGTCTTCGTATATTATTTTAAAATAATTTCTGTGTATGTTCAAGTTGCCTATTCCTTGAAATTATTTGTTTTCGGTGCGAATATCTATAACTAAAGATTAGGCAGTTATAGTCTATACGAAGTCAATTCGAACAGCTGAATAAAAGACCGGGTCTGATAAATTTACCAGTTAATATCATAACCTCCCATATAAAATTGATAATTAGACCTCGTATGAATTACTTATCTCTCACTCCTGTATTTCGGCAGTATCAAGCCGAACAAATTGTTTTCTTGTGGTTATTATTTAATCAAGATGGCGTTGTGGATACCTTTTCTTGACGTTTCTAATATTGAAACGGACAATGCTAAAGGCTCGGTTGAAGATAATTATTCTATGGCGGATCCGTCAGAATTTTTAAATAAAGATTTGCATCTTCAAACCCAAAGATTTATTTTAAATATTTACACTTGCTTGAAAAGTGAAATGCCTCACAAAACGAAATTTTAAATAGGATTAGTGAGCTAACTAAACTTTCCCGTACTACAAATTATATTGTTGTTAGACAGATGTCATTGATCATTCCGTAAAACGAAAAAGAGATAATCAGAAGCTTAAGAAGGTTGTTAATGCCGACAAAGAAGTTATACACCGAGTTGTACACAAGTTTTACGAAGAAAACAAGGTTCCAAC